CCAAGGCTTGATCTAAACTTTTTGCCATTATTCCTGAAGCTAGCTTAGATAAGAAATCTATCAATAAATTTTTAAACCTTGGTATCTTTTTACCTCAACCTTAGTAAAACTAAACATCAGGGCTAGTGCTTTATCTAGGTATTTTTTAATTCTTTCTTTTTAAGCTCCAAATTCCCCATTAATTTGGTCGACCACTAATTAAGAGTCACTATACACTGTTATAGATTAAACATTCAACTAGGTTGTCAATCTTAAACCAGCTATTAATGCCTCATACTCTGCCTTATTGTTAGATGCCCTGAACTTAAATCTTAAGATGCATGGATATTGTAATTCTTCTGGGTTGATTAGAATGAGGCCGACTCTTTCACTATGGTTCATAGTCGATCTATCAACAAAAAGCTTCCAACTTTCTTGGTCTAATTTTTTTTCCTTTTCCTCAGGTTATCTTTCAATGTGGACTGAGGTGAGCTCTACAATGAAGTATGCTAAGATTTCAAGGCTAACCTAAGTAGTATGTGTATGTCGAACTCACTGAGCTTTACTGTCCACTTGATTAACTTCTTTAATATTTTTAGCTTTTGTAAGACCTATCTTAATGGTTGATTGATCAATACGTAGATCACATAGGCTTAAAAATTAGACCTGAGTTTTTTAGCCAGAGTGACAACTACATAAGCTAATTTTTCTATACTACTGTAGTTAATTTCTAGCTCTATTAATACTTTACTCATAAAATTTCGATCTTTACTTTCCCTCTTCTTCTCAAACTAAGATCGAATTGATAGCCTAATCCATAGTGGCTATGTATAAGTACAAGATTTTATTAGGTCTTGGCTTAAACAAGATAAGTAGAGAGGATAAGAACTTTTTGAGCTCTTCAAAAGCTTTTTGACACTGAAGAGTCCACTTGAAGTTAGAAATATTTTTAAAAGTTTTAAAGAATGACAAACAATGTTCTTTTGACCAAAACATAAATTGACTTAGGATAGCTATTCTTCTAGTTAGTTTCTATACTTTTTTTACTGAGATCGGTGCCTTCATGTTTAAAATTGCCTTAACCTTTTTTGGATTCACCTTTATCCCCATTTTATTAATCATGTAACTGATGAACCTACCCTACGTGACCTCAAAAGCACACTTGCTTTAGTTAACCATATATTATACTTTTTTAAGGTGTTAAAGGTTTCTCTAAGGTCTTTCAAGTACTTAGTCAAGCTTTTGTTTTTGACTATCATGTCATCCACATATATTTCTATGTTGTGATTAATTTGGTTTTTAAACAACTTATTGACCAGCCTTTGATAGATTGCCCTTGCATTTTTCAATTCGAAGGGTATCATCTTGTAATAATACAGGCTTTTCTCTGTAATAAAAGCTATTTTTTCTCTTTATCATTTAGCATATTAATTTGTTAGTAACTAAAGTAGGCATCCATAAAGCTAATAAGGCCATATTTAACACTATCATCCACTAGCCAATCTATACTAGAGAAGAAAAAGCTATCTTTGGGGCATGCTTTGTTCAGGTAGGTGAAATTAACACACATCCTCTACTTTTCACTGTGCTTTTTTACCATGACCACATTGACTATCCATTCAGGATAATAGACTCCTTATAAAGCTTACTTGCAGTAATCCATAAACTTTCTCCTCAATAACTCATTGTCTTTTTAGGATAAAAGTTTTCTTTTTTTGTCAAACTAGTTTTACCTCAGGATTAGTGTGCAACTTATATACCATTATCTCGGTATTAATTTCAAGTATATCAGATGATGTCCAGGCAAATAGGTCAATATTATTTCTCAAAAATTTAATTAATCGATCCTTGTGCTGAAGTTTAGTTTTGATCTACATGTGTTTTTTAGCAACTCTATCCCAAAATGATATAGCTACGAGATCCTCAACCAACTCAAGTCAATTTTCATCCAAGTCTAATCTTTTGTCAATTATCTCTTTTTGTTCAATTAGGTAGACACCATTTTCTGCAAAGACAAATCCCAACTTTATGATTAGTACATTATTAGTGACTTGCTAGAATGCATAATTGAATTGGTACGTATTTTTCATTTCAAGCTATATTTTGATCGATGTATTAGCTCAGTTCAAATAACATGTAATTGTTTACACAAGCTTAAAAGCTTGGTCTTCTTTAGAGCTACTTCAAAAAATTTTAAATAAAACAAAAGATGTCTTTTTGTTAGAGCTTAAGAGCTTGAAATGACTTAAGAGCGCGCTTTCATAAGGTTGGTCTTATGTTATATGTCTTTGCTCATAGTTTTCTACTTTTTTTTTAATTTTCGTTGTTTGCCCTTCCTCAGCACTCTCGATTTTGATCAAACTGTCAATATGCTTCCCAATCCTCTTTTTCATTATTGTGACATAATACTATCATGTTGTAGATTGATCTCCTTTAACTTCTCCAACCTCGTTAGGTGTTGAGAATTTTACTTTCAAATGAAAAGTTGAGCCTATGAGCCGCATAACAAATTGGCTAGTTCAGCCTAATATCATATTGTATTCAGATGGGATGTCTACAACCATAAATTCTATTATCGATGTTACAGTCCTTGATTTTGTCCCCAAAAAGATCGATAGCTTGATTGTTCTTTTCATTGGAACCTACTTATTCCTAAATCCCACTAATGTTGTAATGATCGGTTGTAGTTGGTCTTCACCAATTTCTAATTTTTTTGGTATCATAGTACATGATGTTAGTCAAACTCCCATTATTGAATAGGATTCTCTTGACTACATAATTGTATATTATAGCTGTGATTACTATAGCTTCATCATGTGGATGCTGGATTCTTTCCAAATATTTCAAACTGAATGAGATTGGTTCATTATTTTAGTCTTGCTTTTCTTTACTTAGGTATATACAGCCATGATCATGCCTAGATTGAACTTTCTTTTAATTGAGGTTGAGCTGCCTCTAATGATCACATTAATCACCCTAACAATCAACTTGTTGTTATCTATTCGGGATTCTTGTTGTCTTAGTTCATCTCTTCGAACTTTTTTTCTTCCATTTTTTGGCTTTTTTTCTCCACCCCAAGTGGGCTCTCTTTAGTCTTATCTGTAGTCTATTCTAAGTTAACTTTGTCTTTACTATTTTATAAACCTCTTCAACTAACCTATCTTTATCAAATCTTGGATCTTATTTTTTAAGTCGACGTAATCTTTAGTATTATGGCCTATATCTCTATAAAAGGCACATCCCTCCTTGTGTTCTGTCTCAGTAGCTTCGATCATCTAAGGTCAGAATTTCTCTCAATTGGCATTAGAATCCTCTTTTGAAAGGTATTCAATGCGATGTAGTTCCTTTCTCTATTAGGGCTTCTAATCCTATGTCATATCTCTCTTGAAGGAGGATCATAGAAATCATTATCTTTCTTACAATCGAAGGGGGATGAGCCTCTCTCACCTCAGTTGTTTCTCATTATAGCTTCGGCATTTATATATTTCTCAGCTACAAATAGGACATAGGCTACAATTTTAGGTGGTTTTAGTGATAAGGTCAACTTTAGGTGGTACTCTCTATTATTGAGTCCACTTGTTCAAAAGGCTATAGCGACCATTTGCTCCAAGTCTTATACTTGTAGAGTTTCTACATTAAAATGCATGACATATCTTTTCAAAGATTCATTGCGACCTTGGTAGATCGACATCAAACTCAAAATTATCTTTTTCACCATTTGACTACTTACAAATTAAGACAGAAAATAGTGGCTGAGCTTTTTGAATGTTGTAATTGACCTCGGTTCCAAGCTACTATACTAAGAGCAAGCTACACCCTTTAGAGTGGTAGCAAGCCTTTACATATCAAAGCTTCATCTGTACCCTACATTATCATGTTAATCCTATAAAATTATAAATGATCGAAAGAATTAAAAGTATCATCGTAGGCTTATAAGTGGGCATTTTGAACCCTTTAAGAGGTATAGTTCTATCGATCTTTTCAGTAAAAGGTGAAGTCTTAAGAAATTTAAGCTCATCCTTAAATACCACTGCTTTTGTTTTCAGTTCTTTCTCCATGGCTTGCATCCAAGCTTTCAAGTCCTTATTTGGTTAGGGTTCGATGTTTTTTTGTTTGGATTTTTGGGTCGTAGCATGTGTCAAATTATGACTGGGTTAGTGGTGGAATGAGGTATAATGCTCCTCTTTTTTGGAGGCCGAGGAGGTTTTCATTGCTTCATAACTTAGTTGTCTTACTGCAGCTCCTAAACGATGGGTGGTTAGGTCAAACACTTTCAAAGCTTATGATGAGGTTATGGTTTGCAGCATATGTTTGAAGGCATGTATCTACTCAGTCAAAGCCTAAAATTGTTCCATGGTTAGACCAGTCTGTGGTGGGGTAAGTCAGTCCGAGTGTTGGCTATTGTGTGTTTTCATCCCAGCCTGGATGGTGGTCTTTCCTTCCTTTAAAATTCTTTTCCTATGTGGCATTGTTTTGCGCTTAGCTAGTGAATAAATAAGGCATTTACCTGGCATGCCAAATGTTTATGCCAAGCTCCGATCTCAGGATATTTTTGAAAAGACAAAAGATAAGGACAATTAAAGGCAAAGGTAAAGAGTGTTTCTTGTGTTTGCACTCCAACGCATAAGTCAAAATGAGTGAGATCGGAACGAGAGTAGTAAGAAAAAATACGAGTAGATTAAATTTGACTTAATGGTGCCTAGACCTTCATATTTATAGATAAACGATAAGAAAACATTATGGGACAATAAAAAATGGTCAAACTAATATGACACTAAATGTGTCAGACCGACCTAATATGTCAGGTCGACACAAATGTCGAAATTACCTTTGACTATCTGCAAAAGGTTTCTAATAAAAAAAAAATCATTATACCTTTTGAACCATTAAATGCCCTAACAATAATAATTAATCTCGTGATTATTTTTACTTTTAATCTCATCAAAATTAATTTTATCACTCATATAAATGAATGTTAAAATATTTCATTTTTGAATTTTCTAAATTCAAGTAGCAATTACTATATTATATTCATAATTGAGAGTACTGCCGCATCGTTATCAAAATTGAGGATATTTTATATTCAGCCAGATACCAACTCCCTTTTTTAATAAAAAAAGAAAGGAAAAAACTGTGTGCTGATGCACAATGCAACCCACATTACCTTAATGTAGTGAACCTTCGCATATAAGGACATGTTGATAGCCCGGAAGAATCCAGGTCCGACGGTGACTTTTTGTTGAGAATACTAAACATAAATCTTTTTCCAGTGATGACTGATGTTCAAGGGAAATGGCTCAAGGTTCGCCTGCTCCTCTCTAATTCTTGTTTTATGTGTTATTATGTATCTTTTTGCAAAAGTTAAACAATCAAGACTCTGGGATTTTTGTGTTGGTTGAACATCTCTTGATCACATCCTGAGTTTTAATTTTTAATGTTTCATATGTAAATTTTCATATTTGTGTGGGGAGATTCTTGTTTGACTTCATGGTAAAATAACGTCCCTGGACTTAGACTTCTTATCAGTGTTTTATTTCTTTTCAAGACAAACCAGACAAATATTCAATTTGGGTTTTCTGGAATCTTGGCTGCCCATGTGGAAGAAATTTTTAAGGCGATTGCAAAATCCTCAAAGAGGTCAAGTGATTAACTGGTTATAGCATAATTTTCTGCCTGAAAGACTAACCCAGTGAACAAATGAACCTGGGTAATCTCAGGCACTGCAGTCCTAATCCTAGAGTCCTAATACAACCAAAGTGTTCACTGCGTTATTTCTCTGTTTTGCAGAAGCTGTCTTAGCATTGTTGATTTAATATCCGGGTAATTTTTACTAGAAAATCGCAGATTTTATGTTACTCAAAATCCTTTGTTATTTCTATGAAATCATCCCTTTGAACGATTTAAGCAAGAGGGTCTGAATGAATTAAGGAAAGTAGGACCTATCTTGAGAAGAAAAGGGAAGTAAGAATAGGAAAGAATAAAATCTAGACAATGAAGAGATTCTTGATTTCTTTCCATTTTTTTATGGTTGTCTTCTTGATGTGCCTTTCTTTGCCATTACCTTTGATTTTGTCTGTTTGAATCTATATTATAAACTTATCTTTACATATTCAATATTCATGCCGTCAATTATTCTGGTGCATGTTGTATTTTAATAATCTCTGCTCTGTTTTAGATTATTTCAAGTAGTTAATAATCAGTTAAAATGAAAATCAAACCTCAAAATTCAGCTAAGCCTAGATAATACAATCCCAGCAAGAGTGAAAACAAAATGATGGCATCTTTTGTTATCTTAGTATTATCGTCTGTGACCAAGAATGAGAAAGCTTCATCTCATTCACATGTTCTAGACTTTGTCACTCAAATGATCATGCCACATCAGCAAGAGGTCTTGTTTTATCAGAGAACACGCAGGCCACAAGGCACATGATTCATCTCCATTTTCGCTTTTTAACTTTATTGTAAGAATTGAAATGCTTGAGGTTTTTAACCTCTAGTTTTACTCTTTGTATTTGTAAATTTGTATCAGCTTCATCAGAATGGAACTGGACCTGGAGCTAGAAGCTCGCACGCCCTAACCATTGTAGGACAAAAAGCCTATGTCTTTGGAGGTGAGTTCACCCCAAGAGTCCCAGTTGACAACAAACTCTACGTATTCGATCTCAATACCCTAACATGGTCCGTTGCTGAGGTAACTGGTGATGTCCCTCCTCCACGTGTTGGTGTCACAATGGCAACCGTTGGTGAAACTATCTATGTGTTTGGTGGTAGGGATAGCACACATAAGGAGCTTAATGAGTTATACTCTTTTGACACTTCGACAAACAAGTGGAACCTGCTTACCAGCGATGACAGCAGCCCAGCTCATCGGAGCTACCACTCGATGACAGGTGATGATCGTCACGTGTATGTCTTTGGTGGGTGTGGTGTTGCTGGCCGGCTTAATGATCTATGGGCGTACGATGTTGTTGACCAAAAGTGGATCAAATATCCAACCCCGGAAGATAGTTGCAAGGGTAGAGGTGGGCCAGGATTGGCTGTGGTCCAAGGAAAAATATGGGTTGTGTATGGCTTCTCAGGAGTGGAAATGGATGATGTGCATTGCTTTGATCCAGTTGTAGAACAATGGTCCCAAGTGGAGACAAATGGAGAGAAACCTACAGCTCGAAGTGTATTTTCTACTGTTGGGATTGGCAAATACATAATCATATATGGTGGGGAAGTGGATCCTAGTGACTTGGGTCACCTTGGTGCTGGGAAATTTTCTGGAGAGGTTTATGGCTTGGACACGGAGACATTGGTGTGGAAGAAGTGGGAGGATGCACCGAGTTTGGAAAGTCATCCTGGGCCTCGTGGATGGTGTGCTTTTGCAAGCGGTTTGATGACAGATGGCCAACAGAGGCTTCTGGTTTACGGTGGCAACTCCCCTAGCAATGATAGGCTTGATGACATTTTCATTTTTACTCCATTTGTAGCATGCAATTGAAAACTAAGCAGTAATTGATGGTGATTTGGTATTAGGATTACAAACACAATGTGTGGCCGTGTCGGGTAAGTTGCTGTGAATGAGTCTGTCTAATAAGTTGCTTTTATGTGCTTCAGTGCTTTGGACTGGTTGCTTCTTATATGTTTACTTATGTTAATGCATCTGGTTTAGGCTGGGTTTGCTTCAGTCCTCTTCTGTAAAAATTAAAATTGGAATTACTGGTTAGCCTTCGTCTTTATATATTTTATGTTTATTTTGTCTTTTATCTCAACGAACAAATTAAATCAAGAATTCATTTCAGTTTTCTGGTATTCAATCGGATTGGAATATGTAATATTATAATAAAGGTAGAAATTGAATTTTTTTTTTTTTTATATTCTGTACAAAATTCCATAAGGCTAAATGGCATTTATCAATTTTTTTTATGTATCTGTTTGTTCTAAATATAAATTCAAAGCATAAATAACCTGTTAATAGCTGCAATTTTCTTGCAACAGAACATGTTGAGTGCTTTGTCTAAAATTACTTATGCTTTGTCTTGATGTAAAGGAACTAGTGTGCTATATACCAGAAGCAAAAGGGGTTCCTGGTAAAGTGGTAATGGAATGAGATTGGATCAGTCAGACCTTAATTTTGCTTTTCAAATCAAGGAAATTAAAGGGATGTTTTATGTGTTACTTCAGCTACCGAGGAATTAACAACAGAGTGATCATTCTCTTGTTAAGCTATCATTGAGAAATTCCAAATGCAAATGAAAGGCTGCTCTTATCTGCTACAAAGAAATAGCAGTATTTATTCATAAGAAATAAAAATCTCTATTCAGTTTTTGTTCGTTGCTGCAGTAATTTCATAATTTACATTATCTTTTTGTTTTCACTGATACTCTTCGTGAAGAAGACAAATGTGTTTTAATTCATCGAACATTTCCTGCTCTTTTGCTCACATTCCACCAGAGAAAAAGAGGAAAGAAAATTAAAAAAAGAAAAGAAAAGAAAAATCATCTCTGATGCAATTTGTATCGTTTTGATCAATATTTATATATCACTATATTCACATTAACAACACCCCAATGCACAAGCTCAACAACACCATCACCAATCTCCTACCGTCCAATCCTGTAACCCCATTTTCATTATCTACCGTCTGATCACCAGCTGGATCACTCTCTGCTGGTGCCACAGCCGCTTCCACTGGCTTGAACAATTCCCCAGGCAACAACACCTTATTAATTTTGTAAACAATCAATGGCTCTTCATCCTTCAGAGTCCCTGTAATCTTTGCAGTTATGACCTTAGTCTCCAATGTCACCACCTCACCGTCGGTTTGTATGGTGAAATCATATTTGTTTGCTTCATCGGTTGCCAATGTGTTCATAATCCCGTTGTTGGATTTCAGCATTTGCATGGACTGATAATCAGGAATGCCATGATACAACAGCAGGGACACTTTCTGGGATGCTGTCAAACTCTTGTATTTGGTCATGAAACCATTGATGGCAGGGTCAGTAGGGCAAAACACTGTTAGACCTGCATCAATATTTTGGTTAAATGTTGCATCAGCTCCTGAAGCTTTCAGCAAGTCCGCAAAGGCTTTGCAGCCTTGCTTTGACATTATTTCTGTTAGATTAAGTTGGCTTGGCTCTGCGGTTGGTGCTTCGGCTTCAGCTGAATTCAAAACCTGGATCAAAATTAAACAGTAGCTAATCATATATACAAGAAATAACATCAAGAAATATTTTTTCATTGTAGATTAAAACCAGTTGATAATAACTAGAGATGCTAAATTGAATATAAGACCATAGTAATAAGTACCTGACTAATTTGTAAGACAGAGATATTGTAAGGAATCTCTGCCACAGATTTCACATAAACAGCATCAAGTTTTCCATCATTGTCTTCTGCTCCGAATCCAACTTTTCCACCTTTAAGATCAGTGATGTTGACGTACCCTGAGGAACCTGGAGCAGCACCAGTAGCCTGGAACATTGTAGCAGTCAAAGCTGTTCCATTGGTAATCTGGTGAAGCTTCTTGGAACCGAAGTAGTCAACAAGAACATGGAGAGAGAGGACATTCTTGAGGGAGTAGAGGGAGAGTTGTTTAGCCAGGAGAGATGACATGGCAGCATTATCAAGGGCTAGAACAGTTATGGTTTGTCGTCTGTTGATCTCTGCTGCCAAGTGAGTGGTGGTGAGGAAGTGGTTGAAGGTGGAGAATTCAGGGTGTTTGGCAAGGATGCGTGTGATGTTGTGTGCATTTGAGGTGGAGGAGGAGAAGAGAAGGAGAAGGAAAAGAGCAAGGGAGGGGAAGAGGATGGTGGTTAGTGGTGGCATGATGGAACAGAGGTGGTGGCTTGGAAGTGGAGGAGACTAACAGTGGGTTGGGAACATGTGAGAATGTGATGGTTGTGTTTAACAGTTTAAGTAGAGTGAGCTGGGGAGTCTTTCGAGTCAACGTTGGCTGATCACTGCCAACTAAGCAGTGGCTGGGATGGGACCCACATTTTAGATGGGTCCCTTATCCGCGTAACTCCACTGGTGGCTAAAGATTAAAAAGCTTTTTGAACCTTTTTATTATATTATAATTAATTAATTGTTTGATATTTATTTATATTTAATTAAACTTTTATTTAGATAAAAAAATTAATACTATTTTTTTATTAATCAAAATAAAATTTTATAATGACATTAATAAAATAGATAAAATCTTATTACGAGTTACAATTATTATATGTGAAGAGGATTTATTAATTTAATTTTATTACATAATTAAATTTTATTTAATTAAAAATGTAATTGAATTGAAATAAAAATTAAAAATTTAATTAATTGTAATAAAATATTAAAAATTTATATAATTATTAAATTATAATTTAAAAATATTTTTACCCTTTAACCTTCAATTATTGATATTCACTTTGGTACTTTTACTAAACAGGAAACTTAAATCAAGTAACCTTCAAACGAGGAGGCAAAATTGGGACAAAAACATGTTCGAAATGCTTTTATAGAAATAGGATTGAGAGTTAATTGTTTTCCTGTCAAGGAATGTTCTTTCTCCATGTGACAGTAAAACATGGTTTTTTGCAGGCAGGCTGTTGGAACTTGATCTATGTCCTTGGCTTGCCTGGATTCTGGCTGGCATTATATCTTCTTACATGTAAAGTCTGATTTAACAAAAAATTAACGTGTTACGCAGAAAAATCGAAATACCAGAAGAAAGTACATATGTTTATAACTTTGACAAGGACAAAGCGATTGAGTAGATTTTTCATTTTTCAGATAGAACATCGCACTTAACGTGGGTCCTCTAAAAAAGAGGTTGAGCCGCTCAATTATATTACTAATAATTTTCAAACCATTCATAATTTAATTTTTGTTGATGTGACATAGCTGGAATTTCATTTTTCTTGGTGTATTGCCTGACCGTGCAATTGCAAGAAAGGGCATTGGGAGTTGATTATTTACAAAATTAAAAAAAAAATCATTGTTGAAGGAAAATGAAATTTTCTCTATGTATTAATTAAAATATTGATGAGATGATGTTTAATTAATTTATTTTATTTTTTTATTCTTTGAAGTTCTGTTTGTTGCATTTATAAAACACATTCATTTATTCAAAAAATCATTCTTGAAAAAAAAAATGAAAATTTTACAATAATCTCACGTTATAATTACTTGAATATTATACATAAAACATTGGAATGTAGTAGTTAGTTTACACTTAAAAAATAATAATTTCTTACACAAAGTAGTTAATTGAAGATTAAATGATCAAGTTTTCTAATGCATGCTAGTCTTAATTTTTTTTATGAAATTAAAAATATAAATTATAATTATAACTAAATATTAATTAATGAATAATCAAATAATTAAAATACTATTCAATAAAATAAATTTAACATAACATTAAATTAAATTCATACACAATAAAATATAAAAACTTCAGGATTTTATGACGCACGCTGGTCCTAATTGCCAACTCTTTCATGAACATTTTCTCCTACTTTTGATTCGTTTAACACAAATATTTTGTGAATCGTTGGAGATTTAAAGAGTAGTTAGGCTGTGGGATCCACACGTGTCGGCAGCAACGTGCCAGATTGTGTTGCAACGTCAGCAAAGCTCCACCGACAGTCCCTCTTCTTTTTGACAGTTAGGATTTTGTTTTCAGCTGATGATGCCTTCATTTGTTTCAATGTTGTTATCTGCCTTCTTTGTTTTCTTTACATTAGTTTTTTTTTTCTCATATTTAATTAATTTTGGTTCTGCCCTTAATTGAGGTTTGTCTCTTTTACTAATGCTTTTGATTTGAGGATGAGATTGATCTTCTACCTATCACTAGGTCAATAATACAGTTTACATTTTCATTCGACAATCCTCGTCTTACATTTATTACGAATAGATTTGCGACATTAAATTTCGATTTAGGAAAATTATAAAGAAATTAACAATTATAAAAGAATTTTATCAAATATATACATTAATAATAAAATATTTAAATTTTATAAAAGGAGTTACTAAGATATTAATCTTTTAATTTTACTTATAAAATTAAATAGTTTTACTAGAAATATAACAAAATAATTTTTTGTAATACAATACATAATGACTCAAATAATAAAATAAAACACATAATTTTTGTTTTTAAAATGAACGTTACTTATAAATGTAAATTCTATCTATGATTTCTAATTTTTTATTTTGATTTTTCTTTGTTTTCTAATTTTTTAAATTATTCTATATAATTCCCAGTTTTTTAAAATAATTTTATTTTAATATTTATCACACTTTTATTAATAATTGAAACAAAAATCCACATGACCCGCCAAGAAAATGTTCATGTTACGTGCCATATGAGTTATAACAGGAACGTTAAATCAGTGTTCACAAATTTATTTTAGAGAAGGATGATAATGGAACCATTTTAAAGCTTAAAGATCTAAATGAAATAATTGAAAGATTGAGGACTAAAGTGAGATCAAAATAAATAATTTGGTAGTGTATGTGGATGGAATTTGCCCCCCCGCTATTTACACCTACACTATTAATTTTTTTAAATTTGAAGTTAGTTTGATTTGAATTGATATTTTATTAATAAATTATTTTTATTTATTTTTAATTTTAATAAATTTTTAAATATTCTTGAGTCTTGTCAATTATTCTCTGCTCTTTTTTGGACAGCTGGAGTCATTGAGTCCATGTATTACTCTCCTTGTCCATTTCCGGTAATGGGTCCTTGTTTGTTGGGCCAATGGCTTATTATATTTAATGGGTTAAAAGTTTTTACAATGTGGTTTAAAGAAGGAAAATTGTGACATTCTTGAAAAAATGTTTTCTTTAAACTTTTTCTAACGATACTTGAAGAATTTTAACCTTCCTTGGGAAATTTCAATGATCGTGTCTTAAATCTTTACGTTGTCAATACATAACTAAAGATCATCCATGTTTATAACTATCAGTCATGGCATGGTGCAAAGATTTATTCACGTTGACCATAAACTTTTCACTCACTTAAGCATGGTTGATTGCGGTTTGAAGTCATCCCGTTCATTAAAACTAACAACGGATTGTTAGGTTTCAATTGAGAACCCGATTGGAACGACAGTCGGTCATAAAACGTACATCCGGTGCGATGGTTCCAATCAGACTCTCAAACGTAGCTTTAGTCAATAATCCACATTACAGCTAATATTTTCCACAAAGTCCCGAATCAAACAGATTAAGCGTTTGTTCCTTAGCTTCCCCTACCCTTTGTCCACAAAAAAAGAAAAAGGGGACAAAAAATTCTTAGAGTAGGTATCCTAAGCAACTTTGAATTGGAAATTTGAGTATGTATAGCCTACCCCATTTTGGATGCAAAAGTTTAGTCATAATCGTGGAGGTAATTAAATGCCGAAAGATCATACAAGTGATGCTCAACAATTTCATCAATTCGCTTGGGATTTGATATCAACTCCCTAGTGAGAGTAATTCTATCAACGCAATCTCAGGCCAAACATTCAACCTCACATTTCATGTATATCCGCATTGTCTAAATGCACCTTAGGCTCAACACTATACTTGATCACACATTGTCTACGTACATCATTTTTTTTGCAAATATTTTGAAAATTCAGCATTATCATTTTCACTGCATCCAAATAAAATCTTCGGTTTTTATACTATTTATTAGAATATAAGTCAAATTTGAAACCATAAAAACACATTAAAAAGCTCATATAAAAAATTTTAAGTTGTTGGAGTCTTAATCTTTTATAAGTATGTATATATATATGCATACGGCGTGTGAATAAATTAAATTGATATATATTAATGAAATTTTTTTAAATTTTATATTTTTGAATAATTTATTTTAATATATTTAAGAAATAAAAAATATAAGTTAAAAAAAAATTTAATCTTGTCATTTGGATTTATTAAAATTAATGATTAAAAAAATGTATAAAACTAATGTAAGTTGATTCATTTTCATACATAAGTGTAAAACTTTTTAATTTTATAGTTTTTAATAATTGATTTTATAAAAAAGGATTAAATTATATTTTTATTTGTTTCTCTCATCTATTATACCATTAAAATAATGATTAAAAATATAAAATTAAAATATTTTACACTAATATAAATTGATGTTTCCTTTATTCGGCCTTTCTCTCTCTCTCTTTATATATGTATATATGTATATATGAACAATTCATCGTGAAAGAATAAATAAATAAACAAAAAGATATTCAAAAAATTTTCAGTAAAAGCTCATTCAAATCTAAATTAAACCTGAAATATTTTTAAATTTCTTCTAAATTTTACACTCATAGAAGTGATTGATCACCGATTAGAAAAAAAAATCCAATGAAAAAAAAGCAGTGAGCAACCTGCTCTATCTAGAGCAAACTTATCAACAGCAAATTGAGAATTGTCGAGTGTTTGCCGAGTCCAACCAAGGACAGGCCAAGATTGAATCCCCATATTGGAGAATGAGTCAGTTTTCCTCATCAATCATCGAAGTTTTCCATTGAGACTTGACCTCCTTTACGTTATTTGCAGCTATCACCATAATCCCACCAGCAAACAATCATAAAAAAAATCCAATAAATCAAAAACAATCCAGATGAAAAGAACCAAAACCCAATTCCAAAGTTCAACGCATGGTTAGAAAAAAAAGTATAACGTTGGGTTTTCAAGATTAGCCGACTATCAGGCTTGTGTACATAACGATCAGTAGCAGGTACCAGGAAGGTTTTGCCACAAACGAATGAAAGATGCAAATAGACAAAATTCTAAGACGATTTTTTCGTCGTTTTCTTTAGAAACAAGAAGATTTAGTATCTTTTTTTGTTATATATAATTAAAGACATAGAGTCAATTATGAAAGATGCAAAACATGAGTGGAGTGAATGGTTAGAGTCAGGACTTGTGGTCGGCAAAGCACTGAAAACGGCTTACTATGATTATGATTATTATACCGTCGGTTCATTTTTTTATTGGAAAACTTGCATGGAGGGGCATGAAAATGTGGTGCGTAGGGCCATTTTTCATTCTGCACTACTGACTTTGGATTGATTAGGTTCACTTTATTAAGTGCAGTTGATCAGCTCTGAGCTTTCCCAATCTTTGTAACTAAAGCTTAAAAACAAAAGAGAAAAAGCATCACAAACTCAAAGATCTTAACTGGTTACTTTCACTTAATTACTACATTTCTTCTTTCCTAGATGCTAGGGCAGACGACACTGTTTTGTTTCCTTTTATCAATATTTTAACTCCGCATTTGATTAAAACAAAAGGAATAAATTTTTCATAATTTTTTTTTCCTTCTTATTTGCGTACTTCTAAACAAACCTAGTACTCCTTGTAAGTGCTGGTAATGATGAGTAGATAAAAAGAAACGAACAAAATTAAGAATAAATTAATATTAAGATCAGTTGGAAGAACAAAGACTTTTAAAGTGGGCAACTACCCAACTAGACAGAGTGGACATTGCTTTCAGGTTACTGGTTGCCCACTTCATTGAATTAATGCTCCTTCAAAACTCCCTCACTGCCCACTTCCACCGAACCTAGATAATAGATTCTCCTCTTTTCTTGGTTGAGCAATGTTTTTAAGGAGTTGAGGGGGCGAATTAATTAACAAGGCAAAGGTTGGTTCTTAATTTACTTGAGAGGAACCTTTCCTGAAAATGGTTAAATGCAGGAGTTAAAGATTCCTATACAGTTTAAGAAACAAAACTGCAGGTTACCCACCTGATTCCGGAATCTGGAATGCATGAGAATGTTGGTGCTTTTAACAAATGGAAAACCTGACCACAAAGAAGCTTCCCTTTTACAACATCATATGCATTTATATTGAATTATTATGCAACATTCATAATTACACGCAACAATCAGAGAGTAGAAGAAAATCAGCTGCCCAATAACCAAGAAAGATACAAGCCCTTAAAAGTTGACCCTATCAATGAAATTTCGAAAGCCAAAGTAGATGGGGAAATAGCTCATTTTTAGATGAGAATGACCCCTCCTTTATTTTCTTTCTCCATCGTAACCAGAGCTAAGCAAAGATGCACAAATGGCAAAAAACAATTTGGGAGGGAAGCATGGAGCAAAAACACAATAGATTTCTCTCCTTTCCTGTAAAAGAACATGTACAAAGTTTCCTTTTGTTTCTAGATCTGTCAGAGAGTCTCTCAAAACTGTCAGTTCAAACTCCACTTCCAATCCAATGCTGCAATAGAAATCTGCAACCCCAGCACTCACATAAAAACAAGTTAAAGAAACTGGAAAAAAAAAAAAAGCTACTAAAAAGGGCAGTTTTTTCACAAATCAACAGTAACAGAATAATTGGAGGAAAAAAAATCAAACTCTCTACATTAATTTAGTAATTTCCATATCATACACAACTTTTTTTTCTCCCCCTTTGCATTAAATTAGAAGTACTACTAATTATCTTAAGAGGTTACAACTTTTTACTATGCATCATTTCTTCTTCTTTTGACTTCTGCTCCTTGCCGACAATTACATATCCCACGAAAAAAAATGGAAAAGGAAAAATAAAAAAGAAGGTACCTAACAAATTATGTTAATGCTTAAAAATACTACTAATAAATTTTAAAAACCCAATCAACAATTCCCTACCAAGCAATCTACTTGGACTTAACAGCAGCTCCACCTCCTGCTCCACCACTAGCGGCGGCGGCACCACTTTTAGCCGCACTCATCTGATGATGAAACGCACCTGAACCGTAAACGTGTCCTTGATGTTGCCCCATCATCATCATGCCTCCATACATCCCTCCTCCTCCCCCATTAAACCCACCACCACCTGAACCGAGTCCACCTCCACCAGCACTCCCTCCGCCAGCAGCGCCGCCGGCGGAACCACCACTGGCGCCATCTTTTTCTCCCCTTCCCATAGAGGTCTTATCACCTTCCATCTCCCTATACTTCTGCAAATAAATCTTCAAGGGTTCCACGTACTCTTCGAAACCAAGCGTCGTCATGGCCCAAAGCAAATCGTCGCCGTTAATCGTCTTACGCTTTTCACGCTGACACTTGTCGGAGGCTTCACCGGTGATGAAACTGATGAACTCGGAAACGCATTCCTGGACCGTTTCTTTAGCGTCTTTGGAGATCTTAGCGTTTGCGGGTAACGCCTTTTTCATGATCCTGCTTACGTTTGCAATCGGTAAAAACCTGTCTTGTTCACGCGCTGACATTTCGCTGTGCGCGTTGCCTCCGCTGTTGTTGTGTCCCCCCGATTCATTGTCCGAATCCGCCATCAAAAAATAAAAGAAAAAAAATAAAAGACGAATTCCAGACAATTTTTCTATAAGTCAGCAGAGAATCTGGGGGTTTGGTAAAGGTAGAATGTGGATTTCACGATGATGGTGGTTGCTCGTCGGAAGTAAGAGGGGTTCCGGGGAAAGAGGAAGGGAGTGAGGAAAAGAGAGGTTGTTCGGGTCCGTTGGATCGATGGGGTAATAATGCATCGAAGACGACACGTGGTTGGATGTGGACCGTTTGTTTATCGATAAGAGTTGACTAGGAATGTGGAATTTAGGTCGTCGGATTTCATGTGGGCCCCGAAGATCCAAACGGTTTGAAAATGAAACACGTGGTGGAGAAAAGTAGGGAGTGCGTTTTCTAAAGCACGGCAGAATCTTTAGGCGGCTGCCGCGGCTTGGCAGTGTTGGGTGGCTTCAGCTGAATGGAGCTGGCTAATGGCAGCTCATCATCATCATCCATACATCATCCTTTGTCTTGGCAGACGTGGCAGATTATGAACCTTAGATGTTGCATGTGCGTGATTGCGGAGCTTTCCAATTCCAAATGACCAAATTTTTAGTGCCCATTCTCCGATATGTCACGTGAAGCTGGAAACTTCGTTTTCATTGTACCCCCTAAAATACTCTTTTTTTGTTCCTTTCGGATGTGGCAATTTTTTTTGATATTCTTTTTTTAATGCATTTTTTTCGAGCCTATGAAATGAGGAGCTTACAGTAATTTACAAATATTGTAAACAAATTTGTTTTTGGAATTTAATAATGCACTAAATAAGAATGTATTTCTTAAAAAATTTAATATACTTTTTCATCAAATTCAGTAAGAGATAATAATTAAATACAAATTAATTCCATAAATAGTATCTTAACAAGTGCCTGAAATTTAATTTATTAACTAACACCTTATTAAATTCTTATAATTATCATTTTTTTAATTGCATTAAGATTCTAATAAAATAATTATACATGAAATGTTCCCTAAAAAGTATCAATTGGACGAATTATTTCAAGTCATTTTAGAACAAGTTACATTGGATATAAAGAAATTCAAGGTATTTTGATGGTCGAATCATTTTTAATTCAATTTTTTTTTATTTTAAATTGTCAATTTTTAAAGTAAAATTAATTTAATTTTGAATAATTTTATGTTAGTCCTTCTTATTAATTTTTTTGTAAGAAAAAAATTTAAGAGTAGATAAATTATTTAATTCTTCAAGTCAAAATAAAATATGTCGTATCTGACATCTTAAAATAAGTGACTACAAGTCATACATTCAAGATAATTTTAATAAGTGACTATCGATAAAATTCAAACCTAAAAAATAATCCTTCTTATTGTTTTATGTTTCTTTTTGGTCGATTTAAAAAAACAAATTATTTTTCATTTATATAATTTTAAGTTCAAATCATTTTGAGTTAATATCATTGACTTTTCTAATCAAATTAAGTTGGGCTCAACTAGGGCTGTAAATGAGCCGATCCGAGTCGAATAGTGAGAAGCTCGAGCTCGACTCATAATTCGGGGCTCGATACTCGGTTCGAGCTCGATCGAGTTTTATTTTTGAAGCTCGAGCTTGATTCGTGATCGAATTCGAGCTACTCGAGCTCGCTCGATTAAGCTCGATTAATATGTAAAAATAAGCTCGATTCGTATACTCGATAAGAGTTCGATTATTTATGCTCGAACTCGAACTCGAACTCGGATTCGAAATATTTTATTAATTAAAATAATAAAAATATATTTAAATATAAAAGTTCAATTAGACTCGCGAGCTACTCGAGTCAGATATAAGAATACTTGAATTCGGCTCGATCGATAAGTCGAGCTACTCGAGTTCAAGCTCGACTCGACAATAATCGAACCGAATTCGAGTTTTTTTCAAATCGAACCCGAGTAGCTTGTGAGTACTAATGTATCATTTACACCCCTAGACTTAATAGATTAGATGAATTTTTTAAATTCATGTCAACTTCACTAACTTTAATTCCAGTTTATATTGTCTGGACTTGGACTTCGAATAACATATATTTATAGGTACTAATTAAAAATAGTTAAAGTAATATTTTAAAAAATATTTATTTATTGCATTATTTTTACTAATTAAAAAAAATGCATTAATATCAAAATTTTCTATAATATCACTTTAATCATGGTCAACAAACACATATTAACATTTTCTTATCATATATGTTTAAAAAAAAGAAAGATAAATTCCTATAACATCAAAAATATTTTTTATGTTAAGTTGCTAAGAAGGAAGAACTCTATTTTTTTTTTTTGCCTCCAAAATAAACAAGTTCTAGAAGAATATTATTTATAATTTCATTCAAAAAGTAAAAATTTAAGAGGTCCTTTAATCGACAAACTTGTGATAGGTCCCCCCCCGCCCTTTTTTTTTTGTATTTACCTTGGTAAATTGCTGAAACTGGAAGTAAATCCTTATATAATAATTCTAAATTCCAATCTACCGAGTATTTGTTACATTATACCAGATTGTATTGGATCCAACGTATCATGAATCATTAGCTCATCAACAGTGAAATTTTTAAAATTTATTGTCGAAATTTGTAGAATAGTATATACTTTTTAGACTATTCTAAAAAAATAAAAATGATATATTTGATAATTTTTTTAACGCAATTTTAAAGTAAAAATTATAATATAAATACATAAAATAAATTAAAATTTTAGTTTTATTTATTTCATGCAATATAGTATGATTTTGGATAACATATAATTTAGTAAAATATTAAAAAATTAAATTTAGTGATCCGAAGTTAATTATTAATAGTCTCAAATATATAAAAACTTCATCCCCTAGTATCTATTTGTACCATCCCAAAATTGAAGTAGAAAAGTAACAAATTTGAGTTGGAAACTTTAGCTCTAAAAATGTATTAGGCCATGATAGCTTTAACATCAATTGTTAGATAAAAAATCTCAATTTAATTAAATAATTAAATTAGTGGATGTAAAATTAAATAATTAATTAATTACATAAAAATAATAATTTAACGTGATTTAATTTAATCAATTTATGTTTACAAATAAAAAAAGATTTATTATGTATAAAAAATTATAAATATATCAACAAATAAATTTTACTTGCATCAGTACCCATATATCTTTTCATTTTTTTAATCTTATAAAATACTTTTAACCCAAATAAATATATATTATGTATATTCATACACAATATTTATTTGAACCCTCTCATATTTTCTAATTCACTCAAATATATATATCTATAAAATTTATCTCAATCTCTTTTTAATTTTATATGGTGTTTATCCAATAAAATTTTATAATTATTTTTTTTTTTTTTCATATTTAATTTTGTAAAATTTTCATTTATTTATAAGTAATTAATTTTTTATCAAAAATTATATTTTTCTTAAAATTTTTCTCTTATAAATTTTTTTGTTTGTCAAATAATATTTAACTAATTTTAAATATATCTCCCCTAAAATTGAAGTTATTATTCGCAAGAGAACGTCCTGGAGATGGACAAAATATTTACCATCTTACTTCTTCCTTGTCAGCATGCAAGCGTATGATTAAACAGGGCCACCGAGCATTTTATAAGGGTACTCTGGTTGATTGGTAAATGTTTTAAGAGCCAGCAAATTTTTGGTGATGAAAAATGCAATGGCCATTGGATTCCTTTGGGGGACAATAAATGACAACCTGAGAAGCGGAGACTGGGCTAATTGGTGGCGGAGATATGCTTCAAAAGCCTGTCAAAAGCCTGTCAGATTACTTAGCTTGACGACACCTCACATATATTAATTCTTGCTGCAAATACTTCAGCTCATCCATATTTTATTATTTATAAAATGTAGTACAGGTATTTTTTTCTTAAGGGTGATCAAATTGTTCGTTCGGTTAATTTGTTTTAAAAGATTTTAAAATTAATATCACTTTTTCGATTAATCCATCCAATCGAAATTCACCTCATAGTTAATGAACCTAATTACATCAAACTAATTTACTTTGTTAATTGAAATTTTTATCTGAAAAACTTGGATAAATTTTAAAAATATATAATGTGATTAAAGTCAAAATGAAAGTGATTTATGAAATTTAAAATATAACATTTAATTCTTTTGATTTATTTTATTATTTTTTACCCAAAATTGATTTTTTAATTTTTTTTATTATTTTTGTATTTGAATCAATACTTTCTCTCTAAATATTTATTCTTTTTTTTTAAATCAAATTAATCTGTTCTCTAAATTTAAATCAATCTACAAATAACATCCTTCAAATCACTAAACCTTCACATCGTTACCATTATTACAACTTTATATCACCATCAAACTTCATTTTTTACTCATTCTCTCTTTTCAAAAATTTATACTTTCTCTCCAAAACCACTAGACTTTTTCTTTTTAAAATTTTTTTTTTAAGAACAAATTCATCGATTAATACTCAAATCTCAAAATTCGGTGAATTCCACCGTCACTGTTACTTAACCATCGTATGTTGACACCGATAAACTCGTGAAATACTCTTTTTGGCTTCCTTGTCATTTTTTTTTTTTGTTTCTTCTTTTCAATACCTATGAAGATAAAGATTTTTTATTTAGTTACTTTTTTTTTGGTTCTTATTTATAGGTTATTGGGAATGATTTTGTTTAATATTTTAAGTGGATTATTGGTTTTAATGGCAGGGTTGATTGTATGATAATGGTGAGATTAATTGGTTGTTGTTAGGTTTGGTGGTAACCATCTAGTTTAGTGATGAGGTAAACTTATAGTGGTGATAATGATGTGAAGATTCTGATAGTTTGAAAGTTGTTATTTGTAGATTGATATGAGTTCTGAGAGAGAATTGATTTGATTTTAGAGAGAGAATAAATTTTTAAAAAGAAAGTATGAATTTAAATGAAGAAACGAAAATAGTTACAATTTTAGATAAAAAAATAATAAATCAAATCATAAGTTAATTAAGTGTTATGTTTTAAATCTCATGAGTCATTTCATTTCAACTTTAATCACATGATATATTTATGAAGTTAATTCTAAAAACTTTAATGTACTTCTTCAATTTTTATTATTTCCTTGTAAGATTTTTTTTGATGGGCTAAAACATTGTGAGAGCTGTGGATATGGATGGGCATCAATATAAACATTGGGCTTGAAAGATTATGAACTATATAAATTATTATTATTATTACTATTATTATTAATTTGATTAATTGATTAAAAATATCAAAACCAAAACCAAATGAGTGAATTTAATTAACCGATTACACTTTCAAAATTAACCAACAAACTGAATTGTTTTAATCGAATTTCTTTATTAATTGGACTTTAATGGAAAATGGTCTACACCTAATTTAATCTGATGAACCACCAAACTATTATGAATGACATCTAAATGTCAGAAAGCATATATATCTTAGAGGAAATGGGATTCGAATCTTCAACTTTTTTTCTTTAACAAATTATAACCATATAGTCTATTCTACTTACAAAATTAAAAAATTATACTGTTATTGTATAAAAAACGAATTCTCTATTTACAGCTGGTTTGCTTTACAAATATAGGCGAAAGTGCAATATTGAAAGCTGTAAAGTATTGCTTTCTTTTTTTGCCTACAGGATTTGGGGATGAGATGACTTGATTTGAACAAAGCCTTCATACCTTCTTTAAAGCTTTTTTTGACATTAAGCCAAGAGAATCAAGATAGAATGAAAAAAGAAAAAGGTAGTGATGCACCAGATCATAATCATATACTTAGATGGTATGTGGAAATATAGAATAAAACTAGAGAAGAAATTCTTGGAGCCAATGAATAAGAAAAGGTAAAGATATGCCTATCCATAATGATATACAGCCTTTTAATAATCGAACGAAACTGATTAAGTAATTTATATTTGTAACAAATGCTTGACAGTACTGTTTTTAGTGAATTTGCTTTAATTTTTGATCTAGTTTCAGCTTAGTTGTCTCCAGGGACCCACAAAAATGTCCAGATTAAAGATGTAAGATGATGCTAAATATTGTACAAGAAAAAGGAAGATAAGTGGAAAAGAATGAAAGTGGAAGTCCATCAAATTGGCCATGGCCTGTGAACTTTTGATAACTTTAATGAGCATTAAGAGAAAATAAAGTTTCATGTAGTAGAACTTTACTATGTTTGTTGAACCTCCTAATGATCTTGGCCTTTTGTTGTTTGCTTATGTTTTTGGGGTTGCACAAAGTGCTTTATGGGGGTATCCAAAGCTTGAGGATCAAGATGAAATGGCAGCATAGAATATTGCTGGAATATTAGATTTCTAAATTTGTAGAAGTTACACCAATTCCAGACGGATCAAAAAAACTTAAAAACACTTGAAGTAATAAAAATGCAAAAAAATCATGATCTTAAGCTTCAATCTCAAACCTTGAACACTTGATAGAGCCCATGGATATGTCAATCTCAATCAGGTTGTCCTCCTCATTCATGTCATTGAACTCTGCTAAAAGCTCCATTAGATTCTGTTGCTGGAAAATGGATTCAGGTATGAAATCTGGCAGTTTCGGATGCATACTATACTTATTAGGCTCGTCTTCCTTGTGACTAACGTAATGTCCTTCAGGAAGGGAGATTTCAATCAGGCTATCCTCATCAGTTATCGATCCATCATCGGTGTAATCTGGGCTTTGATCCATGTTGTCTCGAAACGGCCACTCCACTTCAGAATCCTCAGTGGTTGATAACTGATCAAGGCACTCATTTTCAGATAGGACATCCAGCGATCTGACTAAGTAGTCATGATGAATCTGACATGCACCATCTTCCCCTACCGAGGCTTGCATTTGTTGTGTATAAATTTCACTTTCATGCTGTCGTTTTGATGCCAAAACATCTTCTACTTGAAGTGAGCTTTCCTGAACAGATTTGTGAATCTCTTCGACTGATTTCTCCACCAACTTCGGTCTTCTCTTAGAAATTATGAACAGAACGGTTGACAAGATCAAGACTGTAGACGTGAAGAGGAAGGATAAGGACCCGAAGATAAAAAAAGTAGCAAATGTGATCAGTGGAGCAAGAACAACTATCCATGACAGTGGCTTGTTGATCAGGAGAAACAAAGAATTAGCCATCTGATCCTCAACTGTGTTTTCCAACTCCATGGACTAGAAAAAGGCTGTTACCAGTAACCTAACCTGACAAAATGAACTATACAAGGGAAAAATAGCTAGGTTTCCTGCTCCTTGCTTGGAAGATCAGCAAGTGAGATCCAAGAAAACAGAAGCACAGGGAAAACAGTAAATTTGTTCTACAAAAGCATATATTGATGTATTGATAAATTTGAGCCAGATTTTCAGTATAAACTGTAAGTAAGAATGAAGGGCATATGCAGAAGCAATAAGAGCTTGGCAGTCTCAAACTTCCATTTTTCTACTGATTTCTTGGGCATGAATAAAATGGACACATACCCAAAAGAAGGAAAGACTTTCATAGATAAAAACGAAACATACCCAGAATAGGAAAGAGGTTTTTGCAGGACAAATATATGATCACTAGTTCAAATAAATAGTAGTACCAAAAAGGCAAGAAGAAGGAAACCAGTTTGCCAATTTTGCCTGTATTCTGCTTAAGGACACGGGGAGGTAATAACTGAAGTGGTTTGCAAAGAGGAAGCAAGTTGAATATAAAGAAAAATTATGTTTTTGGCTTACATGAATGGACTCTGCAAAATAGGACTAAAATTCTGGGTTGTTTCTCTCATCACAGTCTCCTCACCAATTCCCAATGCCCCAATTGCTTCCTACATATTAAACTGGGTTTTTTTTTTCTTTTTCAATTCCTAAACACACAAATCAGGTGGTCATCCTACTGCAACTGATTCTCTTGAAACCCACGAAACCCCTGTTTTCCCTGTATTGATTTACAGTCTCAAAGCTTGGAAATGAGAGAAGCCATGTGCACACATCTGAGCTCACCACATGGCACTTTCCCTCCTATTTCAACGGGTTAAGAATACAAAAAAATCTGAACAGAGAGGGGATTATTATATTATTTCTCTTCCCCACCCATTTCTCTTCAACCAAACCCAGGAGGCAAGAACCCTATTATCAAAACCAGAAAACCATACCTGAAGCTTCAGAAAACACTGAAAAGAAACATCATTCTTTGACCCACCATTACATTCTCATTTTTTTTCCCCCATTTCTAAACAACCAATCCTATTTCGAGACAGAGCTTTTCTTCAGAATGCTTTATATAAAATCTCTTAGGAAAAGATCATTCTTCCTTTGAAACTTCCAGAGTGGTCAAGACTCCGCATGGGAGCCAATAAACTGAAAGAAACCAGCTGATGTAAAAAATTAAGCTTCGTTGCGATGACATCAAGACTTTACGTATGCAAGTTCTCAAACTACTGCCAAGAATTAATAAAGAATCCTTTGATCTGCAAGACTGTGATAATCATAAAAAGGCTAGAGAGAGAAGAAAAGTTAAGTTAGGACGGGCTTTTTTCCATCATATAAAAACTCTGGACAAACAAAAGGAAGAATATTCACTGTATAATGACTTCAACAGTTCAACTTGAAGTATCTGAATTACAAGTGTATGAGTTTGAGTCCAAATCAAAAGGATGCCCAATATTCCGTACTGGAAGTTCTGTTTTCTAACACTCAAAACTATACATTGTGTTTCATACAGAGCAAGTCATTGCATGGACAATTTGTGGTGCTCCATTGGGTAGCTGAAAAAATTTATAAGCAAGTGAAATTAAGAATCCCTTTCTTTTTCCTCGTTTCTTTATTTAGTAGAGCAAAAGAGCTTCTATGCATGCTCCCATTTGCCAAAAGCCTATAACAAAAAAGAAAGCACTTCCTACTTTTATATAAATACCCCAAAAAATGATTAGAATTTAATTTATGATATTCACTATATTTCTCATTTCTTAATTTATTCATTTTAATGCTGTTTAAGAATTTTGAAACAAAATAAGCATTTTGCCATAGCTAGGTCTTACCAATTTCTTATCTAGACTTTTAGTGAATTAGCAAAATAGAGAGAGAGATTATTAGGCCATCGCCATGGACATCCTGGAAATATTTCCTAGCTCTAGGAAAATTTTTTTGAAGGATATACTAGAAGTGAATAGTGTGATTCATGCCATTAATTTGTATTTTTGCATGCATCTGAATCTGATGATGAATTCAAGAATTGCTTTAAGCATATACCTATGGAAATGCGGATGCTCTTACCTACCAAAACTTAGCAGGCCCACTCTCGTTTAAAGCACTGCAACGCCGTGCCGGAGGTCGGCTAGCTCCATCCAAAGTAACGTTAAGTATATATCTAGAATATTACATAGTCGTTGATAAATATGGGCATCTTTTGCATCTCAGTTTGCACTTTACAGCTTTCTTTTCTTTTTTTTTTTTCCGAGGTGCGTGAGCTCATGGCCTACTCTTCTTCTACCTACTTCTTGAAATGATGATGATGATGATGATATGAATGAGGAGATTTACGCTTTCATTTGTAGCCTCATGCGGGGCTTTGGTTCATCATTATCATTAGGGCTTTTCACTTTCTAAAGGCTCAGAAATTGAAGTTTATCAAAGCAACCTTAATTGTTATGGACTAATTAAATTGTAGGGTCAGCATTTTAATTTAAGCTTATAAAAAGCCCATAAATTAAAACAAATTGTACTTTTCGGTAATGCTTAATTTATTCCATTTTGTTGTTGGGTTTTATTTTTGAAAAATTATTACATCTATTAAAAGTGAACTTTTTAAAGTTCATAAGGTGATACATAGAGCTTAAAATATTTAGAAAAAAATTAAAAAAGAGACATGTCAAGTTTTTTTTCATTTTTTTTAAAATTATAACTCCATATTAATGATCATTGAATAATTAAACAAATTAGAGTATATTTAGACAAATCCAATATAAATTTGAATCAAATTCACATATAATGAAACTTGAATCTAAAACTTTTGAGCTTTAAAATATTTTCTTTGTCACTAAGTTAAAGCTTCATTAACCATTTATGATAATTTCTTAACCCTGCTTATCATATTAAAATATTTTAATGTCAATGTATCATTTAATTTTCTTGATTAGTCATTCCTTTGCATTTGAAAGCTAATTAATTGAATTTTCAATTAATGTTTATTTGTTACTTAATTATGTAAAAGAGTGTTTTCTTGTTCTTTCTTTTATCACTTTTTTATTATTGCTGTAAAACGAAAGCAAAATTCATTTTTTAAATAAAAAAAAAAAGAATGGGCAAAGGTTACTAACACTTAACACATAACACCAACTATGATGAACACGTAATATAGTAAAATTATGTGCTTCACACTTATGATAAACAAAACTTTAACTTTTAATTAATTCTTAAAAAAATGTTTCCAAATGCTTTTTAACTTTTGCTTTAATAATTGTTTAGATAAACATTAATAAAGCAAAAGAAGCATATGCAATAGTGTAGCATTTTGTTGGGTTATAGTGGTTAAAATTAATTACTTTGAAAAAGAAGTCTTTAGTGTATATATAAGTGTTAGTTATATGTAGGGTTAATATCATGAATGAATATTAAATTATGATAAAATATTTATATAATATCTAAATTTTAAAAATTTTAATATGATATCTAAATTATAAATTTATTAACAAAGTATTACTCACCCAAAATATGATTAGTTTCAAATAATAATATGTAACGGATAAATAATATTCTAAGTATCATATTAATTAATAGATTTATAGCTAAAATATTATATTAGAGATTTTTAAATTTAATTATCATATTAAATATTTTATTATAGTTTATGAGACATTCATGACATTAATAATTGTAATATATAAATGATTCGATTGTGTTGGTTAATATGCATTTTCTTAATGAACATAAATTTAGAACTAATTAGGAAGGATTTCGATCATTTACCCCTAGCCTTAGTTATGTACAGTAGATTGTACACATCTATTAATATGCATTCATATTTCATCTTTTATTATATATTTATCCACCCCTCAATCAGTCAATCTTGTGACAAAGGGATGCAATTAAGTTTCTATCATCTCTTCAAGTATTATTTTTTCCCTTCATATCCATAGAAAGAAAATATATTCAAGCTATATTAATCATCAAATTTTTTAATTTTATAAATGAGAGTATATAATTTTTGTGTACCTTAATAAATATTATTAGATTAAATAAATTAACTCCTATAATTTTTTTAATAATTGAGATCATATTAATTTTAATTTTAATTATTAATATTTTATTAATAAATTACCCAACTGTTGATGAATCCTACTACATTTGTCATAACTTAATATAGAAGATTTTGCAAGAAGGAATTAAAATGCCCGAGAACGACGGTGCCACTTGTCGGCCAGCTGTGCAAGTAAAGCAGTGCCGCATGAAACCCTAACCGCACTGATATTTGCACTAGAATTTGACTATAACACATTGGGAACAAAGTTTCAATGGCAATTAATTTATTGGAACAAAAACGAGCTCGAGAGGCATTGGAGCAGCATTTGCCTTGAGAAAAGGAATGAGACCAAGAAATCCGACCGGTGTTGGGGAGTGAAACTTAAGGAATGTTTTAGCTCTCACAACACTTGTGGCGGGGACCATATCTAAATCTTGATGAATGTTTCATTGTAATTTGCAAATTTTTGGATTGGACAATCTTTTGCCTTGAATCTTGAGCTTAGATTTTCTGTTCAACAGATTTTTTAAATGAAAACCTCTTTTCCAAATTAAAAAAGAAATAATGAAAAAGATTATTATTATTATAATTCACATTATAATATTTCTAAATCAAGGTGATATTACTCTAATTAACTTAATTTTTTATATGTAATTATATATGTAATTCTAACACAAAAAGATAACATTTTGTTAAAAAAAAATTAAGTGAGAGAAGGTTATTTTATTTTAGAGTCAAAACATCAAAAGTTTTAACGAAAATTTATATTAAATTTATAAATTGTTCATCTAAAAAAACTATTAACAATAATAATCGAATTTAAATTTTTTAAACAAAATTTTTAATCTTTACTAAAAAAATAGTATTTACTCTGATCTGATTGTTATTGCACATGTAAAGTAACTCTAACTTTTATTACTTCAAATTAAAGTTTTATTTTTAAAATTTTGGTTGATTCCAATAATAACAAAATAAGAGACACCATTAATCCATTGTTATAGCAAAAAAAAAAAAGTTAAAAGTATTTTGGCTGAGATAATGCTATGAATGTATAATAATATAGTTTTATTATTTGGTTACTGTGATGATATGGGTTGGTCAATGAAAGACTTTTGCATGTCATAGATATGAGAACCCACCGGCCATCAGTTATTTTTGCTTTATAATTCGAATCGATTCCAATGTATCAATATAAGGAATTGTCTCATTCACATTACGATTACAAATGAGGTTATAAAAAAAAATACTACATATAAATGTGGATGATTCATGAAGAACGTAACCAACACTAAATACCTGTAAGATCACATGGGTCGATCTTCTTATATGGATTAGGCTCGAAATGGCCCAAAATACATCAGATCTTGACTTCATTCAATGAACTCCTAATTATATAGGGTTTTTAAGTTTCTTTTGAAGTAAATGCAACCGTTAGGCGGAACTTTGATTGTTACTAATTAATTATTAGGTATTTTTAATTATCTTTTACATGAATCCAACTTCTCAAATTCAATTTATATAAAAGGATGTTAAAATATTATTCTTTATACTTTATTTAATCATATATATTTTTTTATTTTAATATGTTAAAAAGATATGTAAAAATCTGCTAATCTTGTTGGTGGAGAAAATTTTTTCTTTTCTACCGTGAAAATTATGCTTTATTAGCACAGTAATTATTTAAATGACTCTTGTTTAATTAAGAATCACCATTTAAGAAGAAGAAGACGAAGAAGAAGTTGAAGCGAGGCACCAGGAATTAAGGATCCAATTTTACTAGTCCATCGAAGTTTTTATTTGTATATAATTAATTAATTCTACATACATTGTAAAATATTATCTTCCAATATAAAAAGGTTGCTATAATATATTATTGTACGTGTTAGATTTTAGTGACGGAATGCTAGTCTTAATCATATCATTGAATATGAAGGTTTAATTTCAACGAAAGATTTATTTCTCAATTCTAGTCTTCCTTAAAAGCACCGCCCACCTTACATATATTGAACCTGTTCCTTGCCGTATTAATTTATTTTTATTATGATTGTTTCTAATGTTTTATGCTTCTTAATTTCTTTGATGAACCCCTTTCACATTTTTAGTTTCTATTGTGTTAACTTCTGGCAATAATACTAGTAAGTTTATCGTTTTATTTTAATTTTCTCATCAACCCATATTGAATCAATTCGTAGATTTCTGATGTTCGCTTATAGTTTACCTGCATTTTTTTTTTTTTGGCAAATTATATGGGTTTGCTGTTGGCACTCAAAACCATAAATAGATTAATTAGAACTCAAATCTGGAACTGCTTCTTGAATTAAAATCATATGCTTTACATGTTTACCAAATTTTGGATAGAATATGCTCGATCCATAAATATTAATGTCAATGAATCAACCTTGGAAAAGCTGAGACCAGCAGGAATCTGTTTCGGTTCCTTGAGATGAGTTTGACACAATTCGAGGATTAT